GTGGGTTTCAAATAGCTTTGCATTTCAACAAATATTATGAATTTATTTAATGAGAAGCTTTACTTGTTGTTAAATTACATTTTAATAATTTCAGTCTTTTCTTTTAATCTTAAAGGTATTTTCCAATATAGGGACAGAAACCTCATGACTTGTAAACCTAAAAGATTTGCTATTTGGTCGTATACAGAAGTTTGCTGACCCTTGCTCTAGTGTTTCATATTGAGAGAGCATTCTGACTCCTTATCCCACCCCCCAATAGAACGTAAAATAAATCTTGTTAGAAGATATTTGATTTAAATGTTAAGTAATAAGTTTTAAAATAGTCTTTATGAAGTAAAGTTTATAGCTTAACCTTAGGAATATTTTGTAATTATAGTCAGAAAATAGTGTACTTATTATACTTACTTGAAGCAATGCCTTAATTCTGGAGTGAGACTGTTATTGATAACCTCCCAAAACTACACTTTGTCTAATAAGTGAAGAGTGAAGCCTTCCTTACTAGTGAGATGAGGCTTGGTATAGGGAAGACTCTAATGTTTCTTGAATAACTGAATGAAAGAAAGATATGAGATAGAGTATGTAGTGCTTAGCACAGGTCCAACCGCAATAAATAGTAGTTATTATTCATTTGGAGTCCTGGTATGGTGCTGTGGGCAAATGCGTCAGACTGCAAAGTCATTTGAACTGCAAGGTCAGTGGTTTAAGCTTGCTAGCTGCTCCTTGGAAACCCTATGCAGGGCTGCTATGGGTCAGAATGGACTCAACGGCAGTTAACAACAACAACATTCGTTTGGAGTCCTGGTGTGATGCAGTAGGACAAAACACCTGGACCACAAGGTTGGTTTGAACCGCAGTCGGCATTTCAAACACACCAGCTGCTCCTCGGAAACCCTATACAGAGTGGCTATGAATCAGACTCGATGGACCTTAACAACTTTAACATTATTCATTTGAAGTACTGGTGTGGCACTGTAGACTACACACAGGACTGCCGACCGCAAGGTTGATGGTTCAAACCCACCAACCACTCCTCGGAAACCTTTTATAGAATCGCTATGAGTTGGAACGCACTTGACACTCAATGGCACTTAACAACAATGTTATTTATTTAATGAATATGTTAAACTATGTGCCAGTCACAACTAAAGTGACTTAAATTTCTGCGTAACAAAATTATTTTTTTGACCTGGAAAAACAACAAATTGCTCTGTATTGTTTCTTTCAAAAGCTGACCTTTTGTTTTTTATATTAACTTCTGATATATGGAGAACTTCAAATTAGGACGTAATTTAAGTGCCTATCAGATAAACAAAACATGACACATAGGTACAGCAATTGGTTTAGGAACATTAACACAGTCCATAAAAAAAGTTTCACCCTGCTCAATGAATGAGTTATTAGAGAATTATAGGACATAATGGAAGTTAGGGAAAAATACAACGTACTGTTTTACTGACCTAGTTGTCCTGTTATTTCGTGCATAAACTTTTTTAAGGTCTCTTTTATTCCTCCACTTCTATATATATTTATTTTTCATATTAAATGTATCATTTTATGTGTGTTTTTAGAACTCTGTTCATAGCTTCCTTTTAAAACCTCCCTTTATTTGCAATTAGTAAAATAACTTCTTCCCTGACAATGAAATTAGTTTCTAGTTTTTTCTACATCTAAGAATATTAATCACCTTGCTTAATTTTTAATTCCATACTTAATTCCATACTTAGGTGTGGAAATTGGTTTTGTGTGTATGATAGGGAAAGATTGGAAAAAGTAATGAATCCTTTGAAGCTGACATTGTAGTATCTTAATGCTAGTATAGCTATGTGAAAGATTTTATCTTCTAATCCTTCATTTTATCAAAAAATTTGGCAGGACAAGAGAGGGAATAGATAGATTTTTCTATAAATGCTTGGTTGTTGATCTTCTAAGAACAGTTTGACTATTATAGATTTGGGGCATACTTTTAAAAAATTTATGTCTGCATATGGAAATAATACAGCAGTCACATTCACATTTATATTTTGTGTTTTTCTATCAAAGATGTTGTAATTTTGCTATTATTTCCTTTGGTTTCCTAATCTTCTGTTGAAGTAAAAAAGTAGAAATTCTCTTTTGTTCTAGTTGAGGGAGACTCTACTATTCAGCATCGACATTTACTTGCACATCTTAGAAATTTTAGGTTTTTAGGAGCTTTCCATGAGTTTTCTCTCTCTTGATGTTCAAATTTATTTGTAAAAAGAGACTATCTAAAAATTTATTCTCCAGTCTCTTAAAAGAATCTCTGTAAAATTAAAGCGCATAGGATAACATTCCTTTGAAAGATAAACACCTTTTGCTAGCAGGTGCTATAACCAGGAGAAATATTCAGGGAGAGTTAGGAAATTATTTTACACATCTAATTGTCTCAAGCAAGCTCAGTGGTTCCTTATGATTTATTATTTAAGCTTCACTACAGATCACTTCTGAAGAAATAATTTCTCTTTAATAATACAAAGGGAAAAAAAATCAGCTTTTTTCCTAAATTTCTGTTTGCAACTTTCCAAGCCATCCACTGAAAAAATCACCTTTGTGAAGAGTCTGCCTCAAATTCATAAGTGGTATAGTTATTTAAGACTACTTTAAGACTAAAAGAAAAACAAACAAGCATATTTTTATGTAAAATAAGCCATGGTTTATCATTTTCTCAATTATGGAATGAAAATAAGATTTAAGTTAAAGTACCTAAGTAAAGCCACTTTAGTGAGGGAAGTTTTATGAAGCCAGTATGTGATGCTTTGCTTCTATTAGTACATCTACTAGCATAACATTTTAAGAAAGCAGATCTTTCATTTAAATTATTAGTGCCAAATTTGCCCCTTTTAAAAATTAAAAAGTGTGAAATATAAGGCAGCAGTTCTAGAAATGTGTAATAGCATTCCTTTTATTTATTTTTATTTTTTAAATAGCATTCCTTTTTATTTGAAAGAAAATGACATGAAACATATTCTTACATATTCATAAAAGTCTGTAAGTCGTATATGAAGTTATTTGTGGTAGGGGAAGTTGACCGTTTTGTATATTTCTGTATTGTTTAAATGTTTTGGTCTGGCAATTTCAAAATTTTTTGGAATGAAAAAGAATAACGTAAGAATTAAATGGAATTGATGTGAAATTGTAACATCAAAAAGTTTCAAAATTTTGAAAAAAGGCTTTATTGGATTACTCGAAAACCCCACTTTATTGGAATACTTTTTTATTTTGATATATTTCCATATAGTATATAATGATGCACTGGGCCCTAGCATTCTTCAGAATAATTTTAACTATATCATGAAGAAGAGAAGAAGTATAATTGAATGAAAGGTTGAGTTATGAGAAAGTAAACGAATTCTGCTACCTCAAGTTACATTAATTCTTTTAGTATGTTAATTAATTAGTGTGATAATTTCTAAGGTCAAAAAATGATTTAGTCAGAAATATCATGCTATAATTTGCATTCCACTTTCTGTGTGACCATAAATTGTTGGGTATTGCAACATATGTAATGTACACCACATGTCAGCTGTTTCCTGCCTCCCTGTTGACAAGAGCCCCATTCATAACTCTTCTTTTTTATCCTTTCAGTGAATAAGTAATTATTCAATATAGAAGGCAGGATATTTGGAACTGGCTATTTAATGTGGCAGCACTCCGTAATGAAATCTGCTGTTACTGGCAACCTGAGAGGGGAGTGTAACAATTCCAGCATGGCTGTAACTTTATCTGCTTTGACTGACTGTTTATTTGGCACATCAGTGAACCTTTTTTCCCAGTGAGTGGCAGCTCCAGAAGGGTCACATTGACATCCATTCTATCATGCATTGTAATATTTAATGGCGGACAAGGTTGAGTGGGACTGGGAGTAATTTGAACTTGCTTTTTCACTGAATTGAGGCTAAAAGACAGCGTGATCCTCAGTACTGTGGTGTAACATGCTATGACTTAGCATTTGTTTGTGAAGGCTAATCTTACTGATTACAATTTTAAAAAGAAACCAAAAAACTTCAGTCAAGTAGAGTATTTGTTCTAAATTAAAACGCTCCAGTACAAAAAGTTTTTAAAAGCTACTGTGCTATTTTGCCTTTTTTTTTTTTCCTCTGTCTCATCAGTGACCGTTTTATAAACTAACCATTTCACAATATTTGTCTTAAATGAACCTTCATTCTGTCTCATTTGGTGTAGTAATTGAAGCTGAGAAGTGGGTAGTTCTTAAGAATCTGTGAACTCTTAATATTGAACTTTGTTTCTTTCAACTTTTGAGCTTTTAGAAATGGCAGAGAAAAATCAAGGTCAAATATTAATTATATTCTTGGTGTACTTGAGGAGATATTTATATTTTAATTATGAATTGAATAGTAAGTGAAATTGTCCAGGAAAAGCTACCCTGAATGATGATTTTATTGATGTGGGGTTGCATTACATGATGGGTCATTACATTTCAGGTATGCTTGTTTCACACAAGCAATCTGCCTTCATTATTAAACACTGATATTTTACATTAATTTTCATAGTTTCGCTAAGGAAGAGTTTTCTTGCATTTTTTTTATGCTTTAAATTCAATTAGGTATTTCTGTTCACTTAACATTCATAAGTTATATGATAATTAAATACTGTGAATAAAAATAGTGCTATCAACTCTTAACTCTGTCAGTAAGTTCATTTAAAGTTGATATGAAATTATGCAAAACTTACAATTGTCCTCTATTTTTTCTTATTGTTTTTAAAATTTATGAAAGGGGAGGATTAAAATGTACTTAAAACTGAAATTAAGAGTGGTATGTTAGTTGTGGGAATATAGAAACATTATTGAAATGGAATTTTCAGGGCTTTTTTAAAAGCAAGTTTTTAGAAAGTATGGTACCCTGAGGTTTGTCTTTGACAGTTATGACTCTTTACTTATAGGTTTTGATTCCATGATAGGTTTGAGAACCTTTTTTTATTATAGTTCAGACATTAGTTAATTTTTCTTTCCTTTGTCACAGCCCACTGGTCACTGTTCTAAGTGCTGTTGTTTTACCAAACAAGGAAACAGTCAAGATTGTTCAAATGCCATTAAGAAGGATCATGGAGGGAAATTGAAGATACCCAAAATATATTTCGGGACACGCACCCACAAGCAGATTGCTCAGATTACTAGAGAACTCAGGAGGACATCGTACTCAGGGGTCCCGATGACTATTCTTTCCAGCAGGGATCATACATGTATCCATCCTGAAGTAGTTGGTAACTTCAACAGAAAAGAAAAATGCATGGAATTGCTAGATGGAAAAAATGTAAGTAAAGTTATTTTGTTTTAGAGGAAAAAAAATTAAGTCCAGTAAGATTCAAACTACGCACTATGTTTTTGTATGTACATTTACAGTGATAATTAAATAACTTATGAAAATTAAATGAGTTGCTAATACTGATGGTTTTTGAAAAGTAATTTTACATCAAGAAATCTTTAAGTTTAAAATGATGAGTTTTTGGCCCCAAAGATTAGGGTTACTTAATTCCTTGAAACGAATTTTTATTGTAGTCAGATGTCTTCTTACTTTTTTCAATCTAACAAAAATAGTCAAACTTGGATGATGTCATATGAACAATGTTTAAATGATTCAGCTTATTAATTAATGTTTCAATTTAAAAACTTTTGATTCTCAGTAAATTTTGCGTCTTTTTAAATTGAATGAGAAATGTGATTATCTTGTATCGCATTTCTAATTAGTTCAAACTTCTCTTGCAAAAAATTACATTAAATTATTAACTTTAAAGAGATGTCATTGGAGCTCTTGAAATTTGCCAGGAAAATCTAGAGTAAATGAATCCAGACCAGGTGAAAAGATAGAGGTCTTTCTTACCAGACATGTATACGATTTAAAAATGCTGTTTTGGCAGTTTTGCTTTGGGAATTTGTATACCAGGATGATAAACTAATTTACTCTAAAATTAAAATTTCAAGTCTGAAATTAACACCAGAAATCATTGGTGAATCATAAATTGATAGTATATGAAATGAGCAGTGATATTTTAGTAGTTTTGAAATTTGTCTTTTACTAGTATTAGTATTGCTTCTATATAGGGATTTATTTAATTGATTTATCACTTCCTTTTCATATAACATGACAAATTATTCTATATTATAGTTTTCTCTTTCAACTTTTAAATTAGATAATTATATATTCAGGCTTTATTTGGGAAGATTCTAAAAGCACTTTAATAAATATGCAAATGAAGTTTAATTGTTAAGGGCTCCAGTGGAAAAACTTACGTAATTTGTTCAGAGCTAGGAAGAAGGTACATAATTCCAGAATCAAAACCACTGTTGAGTTTATAATCATATTCATTTTTTTTTTAAAGTTCTTTCTACAAAGGAATTGTGAAATTCTTTCATTCAATATACTTAAAAAATTGTTTTTAAGGAGACACAAAAATATTAAAAATCAAAATGTTGAAAACAATAAAATAAAGGCAACATTCTTCCTGTTAAAACCCCAGGCATTTCATACTTAAGTAGACAGTTTTCCTTGAGAGATGAACCAATCTGTTGAGTTTCTCAAGTGCTGGATATTTGGCCTTTGGCTATAGTCTTTGTAAGATTTGCTGGTATGCCATAACCCCGTTATCTTTTTTTCCTCTTGAAATTGGGAAGATTAGCCCTGGTGACACAGTGAGTTAAACATTGGACTCCTGACCACTTAGGGGGTTCAGTGGTTTGAACCTCCTGGCCACTCCACAGGGAAAGATGAGGCTGTCTGCTTCCGTAAAGATTTACAGCCTCAGAAACACTATGGAGCAGTTCTACTCTATCTTGTACAGTTGCCAGGAGACAGAATCCACTCTACAGTAGATGGGTTTTTTGGTTTGTGATTGGGGAAAATTATTACATAATGTATTATGTTTTTGCTGCCCTATTGGCAAAAGCAGTTATAAAATTTAAAGTTATGTATTTAATGCAAATAACTTTGTTTTATGTAGTCTTCTAGAATTCTGTGGGGTTGGTTTTATTTTTAAACTGATTTTTTTACTCTCAAGTTTGAATCATGTTAGAACAAAAAGTAATTCATTAGTACTGAGTGATCGGAGTTTTCCATTGGCTTTTACATTTTGCCTTAAAGTAATCAAGGAGTTTATTTTTTGATGTTAGTAATATAAATAGCTGAAGATAACTTTTTGTGGTTGTTTGCCTGTACCTAATTGCTGCCTCAGAATGCTTGCCTCCTGGGCATACATGAATATTCCTTTTCTTGTTCCCTAGCCCTCAAGGTAATTTGGTATTGTAATGAGGGCCAATTACAAAGTCACCAAAGGTGTCTGTATTTACTAAGGCTGAATTACCAAAGTGAAATGATAGATAGATTACTGACAGTTTGAGTGAAAGGAGTTTGAAGTGTGATAACAGGCAGTTGACAGACTCCCTTCAGGCTTGTATTACACTGCTAAAATGGATGAACCTTTCTGGTTTTGCTATCAGCCTGCTCTGAGGTGGCATTCTGAGTGCCCTTAAAGTGTAAACTTTCTGATTTTTTGGCATGATCCAAAGGCACATGTATTTTTGTTCACTTTCCTTAACTAAAGTGCCTCTGTACTGTAAAAGTAATGCACTGCTCTAATTTTGTTTCAATTAAGGAAAAAAACAGCCTTAACTAGAGCCAGAAAATTTTATTTGGATAAATAATACTGTCGCATGGTTCACAGTTCAAAAGGTACAAAATGATCTGGAGAAAAAAATTTCTTCCATTCCTATTCCCAAGTTATGTGGTTCTCCTGAACTTCAAAAGTGACTGGTGATGCTCCTGCTCTTGTGTACTCTTCCAGAAATATTTGATGTCTGACATCACTGGTGGTACTCTGGGAGTCCTGGTATGGCAGACTGCAAAGTCGTTTGAACTGCACGGTTGGTGGTTCAAACTCACCAGCTGCTCCTTGGAAACCGTATACAGGGTTGCTGTGGGTCGGAGTCGACTCGATGGCACTTAACAACAAGTGGTATTATAGGATAAGCACTAGACTGCTCATCCTGAAAGCACTGCTTGAATTGCAAGGTTGGTAGTTCAAACCCACCAACTGTTCTGCAGGAGAAGCAGGAGACTTTCTGCTCCCATAAGATTTATAGCCTCAGAAACCCAATACAGGATCACTGTGAATTGGAATCGACTTGACAGCAGGTTTGGTGTGAAATTCCACTTTAGTCAGAAATAGAGCCATGAACATAATTTTAAAATATGTTTCTCAAATTAATTTGGCCTGTTTGGGGCTCTATTGACATGGAACTCTATTTGAGTCAACTGATACTGTTTCTTTAAAGCTGTGATTATAGGTCTGATATAAACAGTCTTCTGTAAAAATTTTGCCTTGTGACTTTAATAACGTTCCTAAAATCTAAGATAAGTCTGTTTTATTCCTTTTATTTCAGTATTGATTTACTTTTCAATTGTCCATATATATATATTTTTAGGGGAAATCCTGCTATTTTTACCATGGTGTCCATAAAATTAGTCATCAGCACACATTACAGAGTCTTCAAGGAATGCACAAGGCCTGGGATATAGAAGAACTTGTCAGCCTGGGGAAAAAACTGAAAGCATGTCCGTATTACACAGCACGAGAACTCATAGAAGATGCCGACATAGTGTTTTGCCCCTATAACTATCTTCTAGATGCACAAATAAGGGAAAGTGTGAGTATTTATATCAAATTTAAATAACTTATTCCTACATTCCTAAATAAATACATTCCTAAATGTATAAAACTTGAGATGTTTTCATGTCTTTTACTGTATTTTTGCTTTATGTTTTAATTTATGCAAATGTATCAACTGAGTGAATTACTGAAAATATATTCTAAAGTCTATTAATTGAATCTTAGATCTATCTATTCATTTAGTTTCCAAAATTATAAATATTTTTTAAGGACCAGTGATGGAAGGGAGACTAGTAGAGTATCTCACTCTTAGCATTGTTAGTATTTCGGGCCGGATAATCCTTTATTGTGGTGGACTGTCTTGTATATTATAGGATGTTTAACAACATTCTTGCTTCTATGCCCTCACATTAGCACCCTCACAGTTACGACATTAAACATGTCTCCAGACATTGCTAATGCTCCTGGGAGTGGAGATAGTAGCTCCCAGTTGAGACCCATTGGACTATAGCCATTACACTTTCCATCTATGAATGTTACTGTTAAGTGCTGTCGAGTTAAGTTCCGGCTTTATAGGGACCCTGTATAGGGTTCCCGAGAAGTGCCTTGTGCTTAGCAGTCCAGTGCTTATCCTCAGTTCCCTGAAGAAACTGTTTTGAAGACCTCACGTTGGGAGAATACACATTCATGTGCAATTTATGATTTGTGGGCTTTTGAGAAGTAAACTTCTGAAGTAGCACTGAAGTTTATTCCCTAGTTTGTCTTAGAGACATTTATTTGTTACAGATAAGACTATCAGTGAGGCACATTTTCTATTCAATTGTTATTCCTTTTTTAAATTTTTGACTGAAAAACTCTCATTGGCTTTTTATTTTTTAAGTTTAAAATTAATAAGCGTTATGTTTATGACCTGACTCTGTAATAGACTGTGAACGACAAGATCAGTGGTTTGAGTCCAACAGCTCCTCTGTGGGAGGAAGATGAAGCTTTCTGCTCCCTCAAAAGTTTATAACCTCAGAAACTATATACAGCATTGCTGTGAGTTCAAACAGACTCCATGGCACTGAACAACAATAATATGTTTATTACCTTGGGGCTGTGGTGATTCAGTGGCAGCATTTTGGCCTTCCATAGGAGAGACCTGGGTTCAGTTCTCAGACAATTCACTTCGAACATAGCCACCAGCATCTGTCGGAGGAGATAGTGTGTTATTCTGATGAGGAACAGGTTTCACTGGTGCTTCCAGTCTCAGGTGGACTAGAAGAAAGGCCTGATGATCTACTTACAAAAATGAGCTCATCAGCCAGAGTCTGTGGAGTACAGTGGTCTATTGTGTGCAGGGTCACCGTGAACCCAGGGCCAGCTCCACAGCAGTAACCGCAACAACAATTTTCATTACCTTATTATCCCTCCTTTTATTTGGCTGCCTCTTAACTAGGCCTTTACCCTGGCAGCCCTTGTACATATCAGTGCCAGGTCAGTCTTTGTAATATTACTTTTATTGTATCTTTCCCCTGCTAAATGTTTCCAATTGTTCACTTTGCTCATGAGATAATGTCCACATTTCTTAAGATTGCATTTAAGGTGGTCAATGTTGTTGTTCAATAGCCTGATCTTAATCTATCTTTTTAGCCTTCTCTGCTGCTAACTTCATCCCCTCAAATATTATTCCACAATCTTTAAAGGATACTTTATTCTTTCTTGTTTCTTTGTTTTTGATGATCTTCTGTTCAGTGGTGTCACTAGGGATTGTGTCACCTAGGGAGGTAGAGAACACCCTCCCCCCCAATTGGCGGAACATCATCCGTCTGCCCCGCCCCCCACCTCCATCCCTCAGAGCCAGTGCCACTCAGCTCCCACAGTCCCTTCTCTTCTCCATTGGCCAAGGTGGAGACCCTCCTCTTCACCGGATGACAGGAGCTTTGGCCCGCCTGCCTGCACCCTGAATGGTGGGTGATGTGTGTGTGGGAAGACTACACTGAGTTGGGGGTGTGGTGGGAGTGGTGGTGGTGAGGAGTACTACCCTGGCTGACGGCTGATTCCAGCCTCAGTGATCCCACTGCCTTGGCAGCTTGCTGGGGCTGCAGACAGCCCTGGGGGTCATTTTGGTGTCATCCCCTCATAGTGTCAGGAGGTATAGTCCACATACCCTCAGTGATGTCACTGCCTCTGTTAAAGTGCCCTGCCCGCCCTTTGTCTATCCAAATCCTATTTGTCTTCTAAGCCCTAGCATATTTCCTTTTTCTCATGGTTCTTTCATAGTCATCTTCAGCCCTTTGTGTATTATTACTGCCTGAAACTAAGTCGTTGGCATTTGCTTTGTGACATTTCCTTGTAACAGCCAGGGCTCTTTCAATTGAAAGTGACACACAAACCCAACTTAAGAGCTGAAGAAAAGACACTTGACTCTACCTTCTTTGTGATGGTTTGAACAAAGATAACCAGGAGCAACTAGCTAACCTGAAGAAAAGAACATGATCTCATGTTGTTGTTAGCAGCCATAGAGTTCATTTCAACTCATAGTGACCCACGGAATTACTCCGATTGCCCTGCACATTTCCATTCCTGGATCAGTCACTGTGACCCTAGGAGGACGGATATTTTTATGTAACTGACATGCCTGGATGATGAGCTTAGCCCTGTGTGAGAGGTGGTGATGTCCTGAGGTGAAGAGAGTAACAGTCCTTCCCACATCACATGGGCATTGGGAAAGAGCAATTCTCATTAATACTAAATAATAACACACTTCGTTGTGTTAGTATTGTGAGTGTCATTTGAATCTTGCATTGTTACTTTAATTTTAAAAGTTTTAGACACTGTTGGTTTTTTTTTTAAGTTTTTATTGTGAATTGAGTGATAGTTTACATGGGAGAACATTGGTTTTACACTCATCATTTCATTGCAATGATTACAATATCCTCCATGCATCATCATTCAACATTATTTGCTTCCATTCCCTCTTTCTTTTTTCTTTGGTGGGGGGCTAGGGGGAGGATGTACACAAAAACACTCAGGAATATATAATAATTTAAACAACCAAAGGGCACATTCTGCAAGCCTGCCTCCTGACTGCCAGTCCTCAGTCTTTCTCTTTCCATGAGTCTAGAGTCCTCAGCTGCTCTATCTCTCCATGTCCTCATCACTGCCTTCATCTCTGGTATTGCTGCTTCTCTGGATAGGGTCCCACATTCCACTTGTGCTCTTCTCCCTTGATAGTCCTAGGGTCCTCTACTCCTGGACTGTAAGATTAACTACTCCCCCCTTTTTGTTACAAAACTTCTACCTTTACAGTTGACAGTCGTAATTCGTCACAATAACAATTACTCACTATTGAATCATAAGAATCTTATCCCTCTAGAGAAGATGAAAACTATTCAGTGGGGATTCTACCTTTCCCGCACACTCTGAAACTAAACTCCCTCTTGAAAACTTGTAAGCCAGTCACTTGGTGCCTTTATAGCCCCTCCACTCTAAGTAGCCAATGTCTAAGTTGCCCATCCGTATCGACCCTGTTTATACTGTGTTTAAAAAAATTTTTGTTGGACACTCAGTCATAGTAGGAATTTTATGCCTCTTTATGTAGTCAGCAGTATCTCTGGGTGCTGCAGATGCTTAATGTGTTCAGATGCTAACTGAAAACTTGGGAGTTTGTGTTTACCAAGAGACACCTCAGAAGAAAGATGTGATGATTTGCTTCCTAAAAATTCACGTTGGAAACCCTCTGAAGCACAGTTCTGTTCTGACATACTTAGGGTTGCCATGAGTCAGAGATGACTTTATGGTAACTGGTGGCTATCAGCATTGCCTTGATCCAGACTTATTTAACACATATTTTTTCAATGGTTGATAGGCTTGTGAAACGTTTTGAGAGTAAAAATGAGAAAGTTTAATGTTGAACTGATAGATAATATTTGGTTGACCTTTATGCTTCAGAAGTTTTATCTAATACCTAAATCAATTGCTTATATGACTAGTGCTTGGAATATTGACTTAGAGTGTAAAATTTTAAGTTTGCCTGATGTTAACTTAGGCAATGCCTTTGGCTGGATGTTTGACAGGAAAATTCTTTTATCTTACAGATGGATATCAATCTGAAAGAACAGGTTGTCATTTTAGATGAAGCTCATAACATTGAGGACTGTGCTCGGGAATCAGCAAGTTACAGTGTAACAGAAGTTCAACTTTGGTTTGCTCGAGATGAGCTAGATGCTATGGTAAATAATAATATAAGGAAGAAAGACCATGATCCCCTTCGAGCAGTGTGCTACAGTCTCATCAAGTAAGACCATTTGTCTGTCAGTGTCATCTGTGCTACCTTCATATTAAAAGCATGTTTTTAGGATGTGTATGTTTGTGGGTGTGGTGCTGTGGGTTAATGCACCAGAATGCAAAGCTGTTTGAACTGCAAGTTTGGCAGTTCAAGCTCACCAGCGGCTCCTCGGAAACCCTATCCAGGGTTGCTATGGGTCGGAACCGACTCGATGGCACTTCACAGCAACAACAACAATGTTTGTGTCTGTTTATTTCAGAATATTTTAAAGTTAATAAACTTAGATTAATTAGGCTACTTGGGAAATGTTGTTCCTTGCCAATTAACTTTTAAAAGAAGGCTGGTTCAACTTTTATGTCATTCAGAGTAACACAGTGAATATAATTCTTTATTGATAATTATGAATCTTATTCCTAGTTTAGCAGGATAATTTAATAGCCCCAGAGAATATGTTTTGGCCATTGAGTTGAACATAAACTAGCTGTGATTTTAATTAACTTACTTTAAAATTCTGGATTGTGACTTTAATTTATTGCTTTGTCCTCTCATTTGAGTAGGATTTTGATTGACCGGTTTCAGTTAATCAAGATTTAAATAATCTAAAATAGATTTAGCTTTAATTTTATTAAGAGTTAAATTAGATAATTTCTCCTCAATAGGAAATTAGGTTGTTGACACAGAATTTCTTTCTTTTAGGAACAACCCCTCAGAAACCTAGATCTAATTTCATTTACTACAGCATTTTTCTGTTATTCACAATAGTTTTAATTATATATATATATACATATATATATATATATGTA